AAGACACCAATTTATTTTTCAGGTAATGTAGAATTCAGAGTCAGTGTCAGGACTACAAAACCATAAACCATGAGCTTATAGTATTTACACAGCTGCGAGTTCAGGTCTAACTTCTTATAAAACTGATTGTTAACAAAGGGAACACTGATGAGATCTGGTTCTTCCTGAGACAAGTATATCATAATGTAACATCTCCTTCAAATTGAGACTATCTAGAGCTAAGTAAAAATATTGCAATTTAATGCTGTTGATAAAAGGGAAACAAAAAAATGCTCAACACTCAGGTAGTTTTCTCTTCTTTCTATGAACAAGCAAACAAAAAATTTGGCTAATACTGAAAAATTTTAAGTTCAACAAATTAATGTCATTAATTCTTCTGTCCTCTGCATACTAAGACTTGTGCAGCTTTTTAATAATACTCATTGACAAAACATCAATGTAAGACTACATAAGCTCTTTCAAGCAAGATGTAATTTCAGCCATTTTAGCTTAAATGGTTTATCTTTATTACAATAATGCAGTTAATGGAGAGTACCTCTTCTGCTCACATCCACTGCCTTCTTGCACACAGAACTTCCAAGCAGATTCCAGGACCTGTAACAAGGAAGTTTTAAATGAGACATACGTGTAACAGCAGAAAACTACATATCTATTGCAGTAGTTTGATACAACAGATCTTTAAAATACGGGCAGGTTAAATTAAGACAAGGTATGCTCCTCTATTATATTGTGAGAACCTTCCAAGAGCAGTTGAACATGGTCCCTTTGAGGCTAAAACTGATTACTCAGGAGGTAGTTTCTGAACTAAGCAGACTGGTATTCAGGTATTGCTTTGCCCTTCCTTTGCTGGTATTTTCCCATTTTGCTATACATGGAACAAAAAAGCATAGCTTCTATTAGCATACATTAAAAAATTCCATCTCATTTCTCTCTGAAAGTGCCAAAGCCTTCCTAATAGCTTATTACAGCCAAAATACAATGAACCAAAGAGGATAAGTGAGTAGAATATATTTCTTTAGTTTCAACACAAAACCACGATTGTTTAGGCCCATTTTCTTTTTATTAATAATATAAGGTTCTATAATCTCTTAACATTACAACTGAAGTTTTACAGTTAATCTGACACTAAAATGACAAACATTGGCTTTATTTGCAGAAAGTTAAATTACAACCTTGATAGATGTATATTTTCAAGATTGAGAAGCAATTTGTGTCTTCTGGATTTTAATGCTAATGTATCCTTGCCTTTGAAAATGGTTTTCAGTTAATTAACATTGGTACAGAATAACTATTTGGCCTGGCGTCTTCACAGCTGTAAGGCAAAGATGACATCTTTAACTCAACCAATATATTGTAACACAAGTTAGACATGAAGAAATGTTTTTCTTTGACTGTAAGATTTATACCCTGGATCAATTTTGAATAGACTTTCTTCTGCTCAAAGTTTTATAAAATTTTCTCTAATGGGAATACATTTCACAGTCAAGCCCTACTCACTCACCACCTCTCCTCCTTCAAAGAGTGCAGAAGCTGCGTAATTGGAAGTTGTGACAAGGTGAATTAAAACTGCTTGTAAGTATGGCCAAAATAGCCAAGCAAATGAAAAAGTAATGTGTTATGCCCAGATATGCTTCTGATCAGCATGGATCAAACTCCATCTCTAAACAGGCTGCAGAATAGAGGAAGTGAAGTCTTTAGAAAGAAAGTAAAGAGTACTGTGGTAGAAGACTTCATGTTAGACAAAGGAAGATTATTTTTGTTTCAAGGGTAATGATCTGTATGTATCTAGTTTTCCTGAACTTCTCTATTTTTATTAGGAATATAAAAATTAAATTAAAGTCAGTAATACATGCATTTAAAGTGGACTTCCACTAAGCTCTGACCAGTTTATACAATAAAAAAATATTTAGGAATACAGCAATAGGGTGGCTATTAGAAAAAAAATATCCATTACATTTAGAGTTAATCTTTACCTCAGAGCTATCCCAGTGACATTACTTTGGAACTCCTATAGGCTGTTATTTCACCTTCCCATAAGACAACTGACACACAGTAAAAATCTACTACATTTTAAACAATTTCAGAAGCTAGTAGCTAATTTAAGGTTGGAAATAGAGCATAAAGAATTTTCAGCTGTGTAATTTCAATACAAAAAAGGAATATGGAAACCACAGTCAGAAAATTAAGAATAGGAAGGATGTTGTAAAGCTATGTAGCACTTTAAATAAAAAGTCATGAGACCAGTATTACTGAGCTCTGACTACATCTTTTAGGTCTGTTCATGCTGTCATTCTGCAAAAAGGCTTCATACACTTTCCTTCCAAACTGATTCATCATAGTTAAACATATACTTTCAGGGAGGCACATAAGCACAATTCATATTTTCCTGCTTCTAGAAAGATCTCCCTTTCAGAGTGATACAAGTCACCAGCAAGATGCCAGCTGTGGCCATGTAGTCACTATCATGCAGCATGCGAGACAGGAACATCCTCTGAAAAAACATGTACAAACTCACTCTGCCAAGACACCATTGCGTATTAAGGAACACTTAACCACAGTGTGAAGAGTCACTTTCCTAAAGCAGACTACACCTATTGTTTTGGTTGCTGCTGAAATATGAACTCTGAGGGCCAAACCAACAATACTAAAGAGTAGATCTTTAGGTTGAAATGTTGTGAAACAAAGACCATTTGAAATAAATCTAGCTGCCCTGAAAATATCACATTAATATTCTGTTTTATGACCTGCAGACCATAAAATATTTTAAGTACTCTGACAGCATGCATTTTGAAGTGGTTGTGCATGTTCATGTTTTCTGATAATCTTCATTACTGAGCTGAAATTAATCTTCAAACGAGTTGTCTGGTACAGTGTTTTTCAAGCATTTTAAACACTTTTCTGTATATTACCAGAAGCGAGAGCTGATTAGACAGTATTCTAAAATTGTTTAAAAACAAAAATGCAATTTTTTCCTTTTTCGCCTCATTAAGGACACTACCAATACAAAAGGTGTTCAAACTGACACTACAGAGCTGTGAAGCAGTTGGCTAGAGAGATCGTGTTCTCAAATGATGCTATTTTTTCTATTCTATGTAATCATATACATTAGTTATCAAAAAGTTGGATTACTTGCTTTAAGAAAAGAACCCACCATAAAAATGGATCATGAGTATTGACAAATACTTTGTTTGTTTTACTGATTAAGATTCAAGTTCTAATGTAAAAATGCTTACTCTCATATGATATTCATCAAGAAAATATTTCATTTTCTTAAAGTTAAATGGACAATTAAAATTGTGGCTACTAGTGAAGTAAATAAGTCATAAAGGCCATAGGAAACTGTACAAAACTAAAATGGGAAATCTCACTTTCAGGATGACAGTATGTTGTCCACATAAGTGTTTTATTAAACTGTTGAGACTGTTTCAAAAGACAGTTCTGGGCAGTTTCATTTGAATAGCTGAAACATTTTTTGTACTGAAAAAGATTTTGCATATCTGCAAAACAAACAAAACAGGAGCAAAACCCATACACAGTAAGACTGAAATACAGATGAAGGCAAAGTTTTGTTACAAACCTGTTTTAAACATACAGTGAGAAATGTCCATTGTACAAAAACTTAGTGACTCACCTACAGTTAATTTAAGATTATCCCAGCAATGCAAATACAACTCAGAACATCCCAATTGTGTAAGATTTTCCAACAGTACTACACAGGGAAACTAGGGAGTTTTTAGAATTAGTTTGATTACATTGTCTCTTTTTATCAAAGCTTACATTTGTACTTTTAAGTATTCACTGGTTACAAGCTTCTTACATACTTAATCCTCCAGCACAGTGAAGTACTCCTTGGTGTTCTCTCATCTGTCTCCTAGCAGCTTTCCTTTATCAAGAGGCTGGGTTGAGCAGCTGCTTCTGCAGAAAACACTGTTGTCAGTCCTTGCAGGGGTTGCTTTAGTAAGAAACATCTGGCAATATCCAGCACTGAAAGATACTGTCAGCTGTGTTGCCAAACCAAACCTGGTAACCCAAACTTGCATTTCCTGGTTTGTAACACACTTTGTGCCCAGTGGGTTAAGAGTTTAACAGCATTATAAGGAAAAATCCATAAACTTTTACAGCAACATTTACACTTTATTGGAGGGAGGGGGAAAAGGGTGGCAAAAATCAATGTAAGTTGCTAATTTTTAAAGTTTAGTCTATGTTATATTTGATTACTGGGATATCAATACAGTGAAAGTGGAGGAACTTCAACAGTAATTTCAAAGAAGTTTTAGTAGATCATGTTGTGCAGGGCTTTATAAAAGATTTTTGTTTCCAAAGATGTTATTGGGGTCCACATATTCTTTAACAGATTTCAGCATTCCCAGGCCAACATCAGAGATGCTCTCCTTCATCCAGCGCTTCCGCAATTTGCCTACTGGAAAAACAAAAACAAAGTGTTTCAATATATGGCAGGATTCTAGGAGCAAATCAATCTTCTGACCATGAATGAATAAACACTGTGTGATGAATGTTTTTATTAAAAAATGAGAAATGTTTTGCTTTATTTGATTTATTGAGCCCACCAGACTATCAAGCTCATTAAGCTCAGCGTACTCCCAGAGGAAGACTGTGTTCCACACTGGCTACTTTCTTCAGAAACGATGAAATTTAGATGAAGCTTAGGCTGTTAAAATAGGGAATTGTTAGTAAATTTTAAAAAGCCAAAATCACTCTAAGTAGGAAACTGAGGAGGAGCTTACTAAAAAGCAGAACCTCACACCTCCTGATCGTTTCATAGTGAAAATACAACTTAATAATCAAACTTAAAAACAGTATTGGTTTAAACAATAAAAAATTGTTTCCTAAGGAAAAATCTTTAAGCTTAGTTTTAAACGAAAAAATCCTCATTTCATTAAAAAACTTTTACAAGGGCTGATAATTGCTCATACCATTATACAAGAGATTAGTTTCCCATGTAAAAATGGATATTCACAACATATACCGAATACAACGCAAAGCTGAAACATCAGCCATTTATGAACTCATTTCACAGACATCTCACAATAGTCCTGATAAATGGCTGAGGGTTCACATACTAATTAACTAAGTCATCAACTCTGATTTAACAGATCATTCAAACTTTTTCATTAAACACACTATAACATTTAACTTGTCAGTTTGAAGCACAATCCATTTGTCAGTATGATGCAATATAGTAAAGGTTTGAGAGACAGCTGCTTTAAGAGTATCTGAAGCTAAATTCAAGCCATCTTTTGTGCTCTGTTCTCAGGGTAACCATCAAACTGTCATCAGAATAATAAATTACAGGGACACCTCTAGAGAACAGAGTATATTTGTTTATACCTTAAGGAATATGAGCTAGTCACAATGCCAACTGAAAAAGCAAATGTGTGAAAGAATGAAATTCACTGTTTGCTAGAAAACAACTATTAGCAGAATGAACGTAAAGAGCAAAGACAGTAACTAAATGACAAAAGGATTTGTCACATGGTAGGAACAGTATTTTGCAGCTCAGCTCAATGAAGAAAACCACTCCATCTGTGAACATACCATCACTAGAATTTGACTATCTGAGCGAGTTGATGTAGTTGAGTTTAACCTGGGGATACTTAAATACTACTACTACAAAAAAAAAAAGCATCACGGATGTTGCTTGACCAGCACCGCAAGTCACTCACACTAGCTCTTACACAAGCAGCTGAAGAACAGTCATTACCATTCTCAACTGTTATCTGTAATGTAGTTTCACTGAATGTGTCCTGTGGTTATGGATGCAATTGTCCTGAAAAGACTGCGAACAACTGCTCCAACAAGATGGAGCACATTAGAATCACAGCAGGATGCCCAACAGCTAGCATGCCTGCCTCTTTCACACCTCCAGTAATAATGCAATTCCACAAGGAACTGAACTACTGTCTGAGCAGCACCAGTCATTGCATATTTAATGAAGTCGCTCACCAAGTGCTGGAAAACAGAAGGTGCTTGGAGTGCATCATTAGTTCTGTCAAAGTGATAATTTACACATCTATCTTGTCAAATTTTCTATGGTTTATACTTTTGCAATAATAAATCTAACATACATTTGATTAGTGAACTGGAAAGAAAAAAGCTGTACTACAGTTACCAGCAGTCTTTCACAAACATGTTCAGTGAAAAGATTTTAACCCCTTGATAACAGTAGGTTGAACCCCTGTTCCTACTGTTCACATCATAGATTTTTCAGCTAGTCAAGTTTTCAACTTGGAGTGAAAAAGCATTGAAGCAATCTTGCACTTAGAATTCTAAGCTGGTCTATCTGACTACATGGAAGAGAGATTAAGTGAAGGAAAGATATGGTGCAGATGAGAGCACCCCTTAAAGCACTGTTTGTATTCAGCTTAGTGCTGCCCTACAAGTATTCTGTTCCTTCTCCACAGAACAATCCAAGTAGCTACAAGAATGAGAAGGGAATAAGAGGAAGAAAAAAAATAGTAAAACATGTTAACATTAATATAATTCCAAGTGGCAAAGTTACTTAACTCCACCCTAAGGCTAGCCAAAGTACAGCTTCAGCGTCAAGGAATCCGTAACCTCCTCAAAAGGTCTCAGTTAGGCCTGATCTTACCACAGAATAGGAAAAGAAAAACCAAAACACCTTCTGTTTCTAGTCTAGGGAAAGCAGATCTTTTAGTTTTAGGCCTAGATGAGGGCACTTGCATAGAACTGACATGAGACAGTGCACAGAAATAAATATCATTCAAACATTTATCATTTATGGGGTCTCAGTCCAGTATACTTTTCTCAATTAAAAAACAAGATCAAAGTCACCAGATTATTATGATACATCATAACAGTATTAATAAGATTTGCAAATCAGCATAATGTGATACAATCAACTTGCAGTAGCTTAGTAAGTCACTTGTTAAGCTTAACAAATTTGTTTAGTAGACTCAGCTATACACACAACCCTCATCACTCAAACTCAACAGAATACAGCCCTTTCTTCTTGCATTTTCTTCCTCTGAAGCCACTTAACATCGCGTTTACTTATGCACAACAAAGTGTAACAGGATTACTTTTCTAATTTTACAAGTGGCAAGTGCCCTGTTCCTCAGGTGTGATGAGCAGTCAAATGCCCTAAAATAGTCACTGCCAGGAAGCCAGAAGTCTTCCATCTGAAGCCCAGCCTATTATATGGAGTACAAACATGCTAGCATGACAGAGTCTACTTCACTCAAAGTATTTCAGGCCAGAAAGCCAAGAAGCTTGTTCTGTTGCAAAACCACTATCCAATACCAATTTTATTTTTTCAGTATTTTCAAGTTTTATTATTCTAGCCCATGTATGAAAGAAAACCATTTGGGCTAGACAAGTAACTTTTTCCCAGTTCTGATACATGTTGGTTCAGCCCCTAGCTGGCTTAATTAGAAAAGTTGTTCATGCCTCCAGTGCCCTTTTAATCTGTTAAGGAATAAAATATACTTCGGTGAAGCACAACTACACTCTACACTGCTCCTGTAGAATCCACCCTTCAAAAAACAACCAAGCAACCATGCACTGACAGAGCATACTCTGCCAAAAGTGGTAACTGTTTCCCACATGCACAGTTTTTCAAACAGAAGTGCATGGCCACAAAGTTGCTAAAATCAGAGTACAGCTCTCCAGGCTATAAAGGCTATGCTTACTCATCTCTGCAGCTATCCAGATGGATTTTCAAAAAATCTGGATGCTAAGGATGGAGATAGGAAACAGCAGGTAGAGGTTGGCCTTCTCAATTTTTGATTATGAAGTACTTGGGCACACATGAAACAGTACTGTAAGGGAGGTTTTAGTGTGGCTGATGGATCCCAAGGGTAACTCTACACCCATGCAGAACAAGTTTATAGTAGCACATGGTCCCAGTGAACATGGGCTCGAGTGGCACTGCATATGGGCCTAGACTTCCTTTGCTCCAGCCCTTTCTACTTAAATGGGCAGTTATTGCAAAACAACAGCTCTGCTAAAGGGGACGCAGTAACTGGTCAAAAGAAGGATAGGGCTCTTTCAGCTGTTGCATACTCTTCCTGAAGCTGGTTGTCTCTAGGGAAAGCATCTCTCCACTCTTAAAAATGGCTTAGTGGGTTATTACTCTTACAGAGTAAGTCTACTACATAATTAACACGATCACTATAACATCTGACATTTTCACTTGATACCTAAACAAGTCAAGTACTTTCAAGTCCTGTGTTGATGAATCAAAGTCCTTTGCATTTATTTGGTGGAGAAGACACTAAAGATAACTATTCTATTAAGACTTTCAACAGATGGAGGAAAATACAACTGTATTGTTATATAATTTCTCCTAAAATTACCCAGTATCTGACGACAATCACAGTTTAAAGTCCTCATTCAAAACTATAATCCGTCTCCAGTGCTTAGCTTAAAAGGTGACTTTCCTGTGTAAATGAGAAAAGAACATGTTCAACTCTCCCCACAAGGGAATTTTATCATTCCAGATTTTGTAGTCTGTGTTGGTTAATTACTGCAGTGTATATTTTAAACAACAGCTTCTTAATGACAGCTAAGAGTTGCAATGAATTGCAATGACAAACATGCAACTGAATCCAAACAAGGTGTGGGGGTTGTTTTTTTTTGTTTTGTTTTGTGTTTAGATTTTTTTGTTTGGGGTTTTTTTACCTTTCCTAAATAAAATTGCCAGGAAATTGATACTATACCTAAACCTGTGGAGCCTGGGCTATGTTAACCTTTATTCTAGTCATTTTATCTAGAAAGTGGAAGAAAATTAGTTCTACAAGCAGTTAAGAGGAAATATTTTCCTCAAAGCCACAATCTGGTAATTGTTTCCTTAAGTAACCAGTTTTACTTAGAACATTCCCTGGAACCAAAACAATCTATCATGAATTTTTACATTGTTACTTAGTTTTACATGGGCGTGAGAAATTTGTATCTACATGGAACTGTCATTCCTAATGCAGCTTCTTAAATGGTAAGTTTCTAGAAGCTAACTGACTCTAGGAACTCTTGCTTACACAACTCTCAAGCCTGAAGATACTCACCAGAAAAGAAGGATAAAAACTGTGTTTGAAAATGTGCACTATCCGTAAGTGTAGGACACAGTCAAGGCAAGGTAAAACCTATAATCAAGACTGCAAAATTTAATGTAGTAAATGAAGACTAGGAATGCTACAACCAGGATATTTAATTCCTGAATACCTTCCAAAAACTTTTACTATATCACAAATTATGTAATAGCATTACTTAAAGGGTACAGAGGTGGCATATGAAACCACTTAAAAGTCACACATTAAAAACTGCTTTAAAACCACTAAGAAGCTTTTTTTGCCGTTTGTTCACAACAAACCTTGTAAGAAACAGACCCAGTATATACAGACAAGACTGCCAAGGTCATAAAAATATTTGATAACCTCCTCTATAATGGTAAGTTTCTGATGTACTGAAAAATGGCTGAATTCCCCCTAAGTGCATATCTGATGAGCGATGTATTTTGGGTGTATTTTTAGAGCAACACAGGCCTCAGATTCTTCCTAAATGTCAATTTACTACATAACCCAGCAACACTATGAAGAGTTAAACACTAACACTAAAGAAGGAAAACAGTTCCTGATTCTTACCAATTAGATTTAAATATTTCAAAGCCAAAAATGAGAAAGACTTGAACGAAAGAAAATGCAATTTGGATAGAGGACAAATTCATTTTAATTATAGTATCAGAAATGACATCCAGATTTATAAAACAAAAATTCTAAGTATTCTACCCCAAAACACAAGTAATTGCTACACTGAAAGGATAAATTAATTACACAGATGTGTATGGCTTTGTTACAGCTCCGTGTTCATGAGATGTTTGCTGTACAAAGCTGGTACTGATACACTTCCAAAGTTTCTTTGTTGAAATGTCAATGTTGTTACATATTGCAAGGTGTGATCATTAATGTATTAAATCAACAAATAAAGTTATGCTTCTTAAAAGTTTTAAATCTCAAAAGTAATTGGAGGGGGGATCTTCTCACAATATTGCTACCTTTAGTGAGTCTTGCCTAAGAGTTACAATTTTTTTTTCATTAGCCTGAAGGGAGGGGAGAAGGGATACTGAGATTAAAATAGAATCCAAAATGAAGTTTTTCTGAAGTTACTCTTCATAAAATTATCATTATTTCAGTTCTCACTATAGATCCCAAATATGTGTCTATCTGCAGTTAGGACTTCCCAAGATGTAATTTAGAACTTTACACATCTCAAACTGTCACATGCAACCAGTTCTTCACTCAAGAAGTGAATGAGAATTGACTTGAGCAGGCTTTGTATTTCCTATAGCCTTAAGTCCCAGACTACATCTGTTTTCTTTGATACACAAAACCAGATTTAAAATAGCTCCATTTATCACAGTGATTGTAGGCAGACAAACCAGTCTGTTTCCAGATAGTGAAAACAACTGTTATTAATCACAATTACAAGACAAGTATTAAAAGAACTTGCACCAGTATTTTCTTCTACCCAAAGAATAAACCAGTCTTAGCAGTGCTAAGAGGGACAAGGCCTGAAGGTCAGTAAATATAACTCATACTATTAAGCCAGTTCTCAGCAGCACATCTACTAACCACTAGAAAAAATGGAACTTGATTACCGTACACAATGAACTGTCACACAAAAACACTCAAAGCAGAAAATATTTCTCAGTATAAGAGGCAGTCATGCATACAACAGAAACCTAAGTAGTCTAACAGAAACCAAGCTCTCCATATCTTCAGAGCCAGAAAGTTCAAGTGTGCAAGGGTTTGAAAATGCTGCGTAACAATTTCTTTTTTTCTTGTTCAACATTTGCTGTAAGCAGGGCTTCATATATTGAGGCCAAATACACCCAAACATGTGACGAGCTCCAGCTGCATGCGAGTTGATAGATGGAATGCTAGTCACAGTAAAACACAGCTGCCACAGCAGGGGAGAGCACAGCAGTACATCAAGGGGGTAATTCCCCATCCCATGTGCAAGAATTGATCTGCCCACTATATCACCACATTAAAGATTTAATCAGAGGGCAAAGTATATTAAACAAAAAAAAACAAACCTGTTTTCACTCACATTATCATCACCTGCATATCTTTCAATATCCTGATACTGCTAAAGCAGAGACTACCTCTGTTTCCATCAAAGCTAGGTGCCTGAAAACAGCCCTAGCTAAGTCTGATGTCTACGAAGTCAACAACATGTTTTAAAGTACAGTTTCTGCTCTTTAGTTTTCCCTTCACTGAGCTTTCTTGGAATTACTAAAATTTACTTTAGTTTTAATCCATTAGACTTCTTCCTCTTTCTCTTATTTCTGTGGCCAGATAACACCCTGAGAAATTAGAGAGAAGAAACATGTTAAGTTTAAAGAAGCTAGCTACAGAAATCAAACTGACTTCACAACAAGTCCTCCTGACATCAGAGTTTATACCGGTGTATAGGACACATGAAATCAAATTCAGCTATCTGAATATGTGGAAAAAGCATATGTAAAGCATCATGTATATGAAGTATCACTTATATGGCTCTTAATATTAAAGCACAAATAAATTGCAAAGAGACTAATAACTCAGACACGTAACTCCCAAACACCAAGAGAGAAAACTGAATAACCAGAAGTTAACAGAAAGCAAGCCAATAATAGCAATACTTACATAACATCAATTATGCAACAAAAGGTAAATTGCAACACAGCCCAGTTTAAAGTCACTAGCTCTCTTATGCAGTTACTTTCACTAAGTGCTCTGGAATTTGGGCTAACAGCTATCACTTAGCCACATGAGACATTAAGCTGCCTCAAAGCTATAAAACTCTCATTTAAGGTTTTTTAACAGATTATACCTCTGTGCAAGGCTCAGTAGAGCAAACTGATCAATTACATTTTCAAGTTCTCAGGTAGCTTGTAGACTTCCTATCAAAGGTTTGAGGCTGGTGCTCATAATTATACCACATTGGGTGACTTTATGTCAAGCAAAGCTGGCTTAGGGATACTCTACTTGAAACTCTGGCAAACAGGTAGAAAGTTTCAAGAAAGAATGCTCCCAAACCCCTGCCCCATAATTTCAGTCAATGCCTGTGAAAGATTTTTTGAAGTTCTGTTACAAACTCTTATATACTCATGAATATTCAGCATTTTCAAAGCATAAACATCTAGCATTATCAAAGAGACTAATGTTAGACTGACAGCATTACCTCCATGGTGATGTGACAGACTTCCTCCATTGGCAAGTATTTCTTCTCTAGCAGCTCTCTAAATTCGAAAGGTAAGGTATTTATTCAACAGCAAATGCACAGGATGTTTGTTCTTAATTAAATGCTTGCCATCACACTCATCTACATAGGCATATGAAAAGTTTCAGAAGTAATTAAGGATACAAAATACAGGTAAATATTTCATTCAAGTCTGCAGATAAATATAGGTGGAGATCATCCAAATAAACATTATCAAAGCCAAGACACTTAAAATGGCATCTCTTACAATAAACCTAGTAGTTCAGAATGGAATATTCAGTATCACTTCCCTCTTTCCAAAACTAAAAATACACTGGCAGCTGGGATGTTCTTCTGGAGGATGGTTAAGTGCCTATTGAAATTTCAATAAAGAAGTTTGAAAATAGACTCCCCAGAGTGATTCAAGGTCCTTATCCAGACCAGAATTTAGACTCAGATCTCCAATATTCTAGTCAAGGAATTGAGGTACTTCATAAGTGACAATTCTTTCACAGGTGATGTTTCTGGCAGAAAAAAAAAAATAGATTTTCATTAAGAAATATTTGAACACTTTCAAACTCTGGAATCTTCTTTCCCATCCGGCTCTGATTAAGAAGACAGCTTATAAGGCTGTAACAAAGAAAGCTTTCTTAAGTGCAAGTACTAAATTTTTTAAGTGTATTTTTTTTTTAGGAATAATGTATATAACCGTACCTATTCAGTAAGAGATTTTTTCAGTCTGCCACAGAGTGCATATACTTGGCTGGCAAACTCACTTTGTTAGGTTAAATTTAGTCACCTACAATGGAACACATGCATCCGTGTGATCACACTGTTAATTGCAACAAACAGCAATATCTAATTAATTTCATTTTTAAAGCACTCCAACAGCATGGAAGTCTCAACTTGTAGATAAAACTTTACATTCACTTGTCAGGCACAGAAGAAATTTCTAAATAATAAGCATGGGAAAAATTATATCCTAGTTATAAACACAAGCTATTCTTCACCAGCCTATTAGCAATTTTGTAGGGCTGAAGGTTTAGCATATGAAAAGGTTGGGTGAAGAGCAGTTTGTCTCTAGTCCTTTTATGTCTAAGTCCTTCTATGTCAAGAAAACAAGGATAATAATAGTTTCTCTCAAAAAGGTGTTCCCCTTAACAAGTATAAGGTATTACCAAAGTATTAAAGGACAGTTATTCCCCAGCTTTTGGCAAACGTCAAAGCAGCTTACAAAGGTCTAACACAGCAGACTTAAACCAGCACTTATCAAGGCCAAAAGAGAAATAAACAGGGCAGTTCATTTTCTGAAATAGCATTTGAGAGACTGCTACATCATTCTCTACAAGCAGCACTATTAATAAAGTATCATCTTGATAGTTTTACCATGTTTTTTAAAGACAAATTAAGCATTAAGTGAAACAGCTTTGTAAATAATGGAACTAAGGAAGTCTTGTTTCCCATAGCTTTGCATTTTGTGGTTGAGTTTGTCATCCAAAACCAAAAATCCATTTCAAGCTTTATTGCCCTGTAGTCTTAAGTGTTCCTTTACTGAGGTCTACGATAGCCACCTTCCTTCCTGGTGGACACCTGTTCCTCTAGCTACTAATAATCAAAGCTTTATGTACTGACTTGGGTGCTCTTTCCTGCAAAATTCAGTTAGCTTGGGCAATAACTTTAATATATACTATTACAGGACATCAGCTTCTCCTGCTCCCCATTAAGTAACGCTCTTACCTCAATTTGTTCATATACATGAACAGGATCACTAATTCCTCTGTAGTTAAAGGCAAAGTAGAAGTAGACACATGCACCTGCATCATACGTCTGTGTCACCCTGTTGAAGAAAACTGCATTACAAACAAAGCTTTATGGTATTAAGCTACCCATTACATGACCTTACAGAATTCATAAGGTTCTTACTTAAAAGGGTAGCATCTTTCTAAAAAGTTTTGTATCCTTTTTGCTCATGCTTCATGACTGACTTAATGCTGTGACTGAGAGTTGAAGCTTTTAAGTAACACTTGACTCTTGCACATATTCAGAAGAGTAAACTCAAGACTAATCAAGTGCTACTAATCCCTTGAATTACTCACTCTTACATGTAACACACAGGTTAAAGAGGAAAGTCAGGATTACTGGTGTTTGTAGTATCATTAATAGATGTGATTCACTTGCTAGCTAGCACGCTCCATAGCTCTCTTACTAATCAAACATTTAAAAAAATATTATTTAAGTTGTTACACAGCTTACCTGCAGGAGGAAAGTGGAGCAAACTGAACACCCTTTTCTTTACATTCTCTTACTATCCTTTCCTTTACATTCCTACAAAGGTCCAAAACCCTGTAACAGAAAACAAATTAAAATAAAAAGTTTAAGTATATGATCTTACACAAATACCCAAAACACAAATTCAGCTTTGGTAATTGTTTTTAAAAAGTATAATCTAATCAAAAAGAAGATTGCCTTCTAGTACCAGTTTTAAGTAGCTTAGATTTTGTTTGAAGAATAAAATAATCCTTTTCATAGAGACTTCACTAGCATTGCTTTTCTGTACTTCTGAATAATAAATCTATTCTGAGGCAGATTATGTAATGAGATATCTTTTCCATAAGGACTAGGAGTGAAGTGTTCAATAGAAAATGGAAGTTGCCCACTTCTTTAAGTCTTTACTTACTTTCTCAGCAAAGCAGCCTGACATTTTTTGGCAAAGTAGTTGATAAGTGCAGCTTTCAGTAGAAAGCTTGAGAACTCTAGGGCCTCCTATGCTCTGCTAATACCATACCTTTGGTATGTTGCAAGGCCAAAACTGAAAACGCTCTAGCAGTGCATTAGTTTGTCAGCTTGAAATGTTATAGTTCTAGTATGGCAAAAAAATATTAAAGCTTGTCATGAGGTTTTTTATTATTCTTTTTCTTCCAGGGCAGACCCAGGTGCGTCCAAAGCACTAAAACAATTGAAAGAAATAGCTATTTCAAATAACTATTTCTTTAATTATATGCTCTCCCACAAAGGTCTGCAGTTGTACTATACAATTCAGATTAAGTCATATTGCACAAATTTAATACTACTTTGCAGATTGACAGAAGTAATATGCAAAAGAAATGTAACAAGTAAAGCTAAATATTTTATTCAGTCAGGAACAAAAAACCTGATTGATTTATGGAAAATTACACAGTTCTGTGAGCCAAAGTAGAAAAAGTTATTGAAAGTGTTTGTTTTGGTGAGGACAATTTCAAATATTTTCTTAAATTCTTAGATAAAGTCATTGTCTCCCGAAATGAGGGAGAGGCTCTCTCTCTCACTAAATGACTAAGTAGTTAGCATACTTCAAGATCTGTAAAGCAAAAATAAAGTGATATTTTGCTTGTAATTTTCCTCAAATTTCTGCCACACATGAAAGATACCATGCCAATCTTCAAAGCTGAGGCTGGAACTTAACCTGCCACTAAATTCAATAGCAAGAATACAGGCCTGCCAGCTTAAGTCATCATGCTTTGCACACTTTCTACTTTGTATTAAATACTGTAAATATTTAGAATTATAGAATTATTCAGGATGGAAAAGACCCTTGGGATCACTGAGTCAAAACATCATCCCTACTCAGAGTTCTCCCCTAACCATACCCACCAACACCACATCCAAATGACCCTTAAACACATCCAGGGATGGTGACTCAACCACCTCCCTGGGCAGCCTATCACAGTGTCTAACCACTCTTTCTGTGATTTTTTTTTTCCTGATGTCTAGTCTAAACCTACCCTGTTGCAGCCTGAAGCCATTCCCTCTTGTTCTATCTATTTGATTCAAAACACTCTAGATCTTGTGTAAGAGGTTTCTGGCTTACCAAATGTACCGAAGCATCTCAAATTAATTTACATATTAAACTGTTGTGGTCAAGTGTTTCTTAACCACTGCTAACATAAAATAAGCTCAGGAAAAATATTTATCCTGGGAAAAATCTGTCCAGTTCTTTCAGTTCCGTGCATCAGTGGGGAAAAAAAAACCCTAAACATTATTTATTGATTTTCACTGTAAACTTCTGTTTGAAACATACTGCTGATCCCACAGGTGCCTGCTCATCACAGAATACTAAACCAGTCAATTTCAAAACCTGAAACTTGTTACAGCAAACAAACCTAAGTAGAAATATTCCTGAATGCTTGCCTATATTGCATTTACAAATTCCTGATATGTAATTTAATAGCAACTTCAGCAAGAACACACAGGTGCAAGGCTTGAGGTACATCAGGGAGCCTCTAGTACACTTAAGGCCTAAATTAAATTAGGTTTCCCCATAAGCAAGCATGAGCTAGGAATAATTTGAATTAAATAAAACAATTCTTAAGAATAATCACAGTTTACCTATCCCAAGGAACCGATGTCTCAAATGATTCTCCTATTACATAGTAGTCCAGGCCCAGGTCCTAAGTAGTAAAGGAAATTCAGTAACATTCAACATCAACATCTCGGATTCCAGTGTGTGCTACACAGTTAACAGCTGAGCAGCTTTAGTTTGTATGAAAAGAACAAAGTCTATTTAGCAAAAATACCCATCTGTCCCAGTAACATTAATTTAAATTATGGAACAGGCTAGCTCTTTGAAGACACAGATAACAAACCTTTTGATATCATGGCTATAAACAACTTGTCCAACTGTGAGTATGCCTACACTGATCAAATATTTGTACCACTATAGCATCAAGCCAGGAGTGTCATTGTGCTAACCAACATAACATGTGGTAGAAACATTTATTTGGAATCTAATTCCTATCTAGATACAACACTGTCCATTTTACATATAGCTTCATGCAATAAAGGGAAGTTCACTGATTTGTCCCTGACTATAAAAGCCAAATAAATTCTAGCACTCAGAATGTGAATACTATTTTGAAAAAAAATCTTAAACAGTAAGACTAAAATTCCTAAGAACACTTGCAACAGTTCAGGCTAAGAGTCTATTTGTTCTGAAATTCTGATTCAAACCACAGCCACTAGTAGGTGTCAAAAGATGAGTAAGAGCTGAATGAGCACAGGAGTACTTCAAGTACTCTTCCACTCAGACTTCAGAGAAAGTATCTTCAAAAAGATATCTGGTTTGTTATATTAATTAAAAGAAGTTTTGGTAAGCAGACAGAAGGTGACCTACCCGAAGGTAAGCAATAACAAACGTCAGCATATATCCTCTCTGTCCATTATCTTCTCCTGCTGCCAAGCCACTGCAATTAACAAGAAATTAATTAACTTTCCAGTAATCACTGGTTTCTAAAAAGCATTTAAAAATACTTTTATTATCAAACATATGTGCAAGTTTAGCTGTCTCTAGGCTGTGCTACAATAGTTGCAAATAGGAGGGTTTTTCTATCACTAGAAATAAGAAGTCACTTCAGACCAGACCTTTAACTAATTTGTATTTCTCTTTTCATTCCATAATCTGAAGAAAGATTAACAACAGCAAAACATTTGATGTAATCTTAAGTAATAGTCTTCAAACGTCACAAAAGAGCAGGGGAAACACAACTAGACGTAGTATATCCTTGATGTTCGTTATCAGGAATATGTGCAAGTACATTTCAAAGCGTGTTGGATTTTGCACTTGTGTGAGAGCAAGACTGGTGACTTACAATCCCAAAAGCATAAGTGATGTAAACAGATTAAAAAAAGACACTGCACTAAAAAAAGAATTCTTGTTTTTGCTAATCTATGAAGTTAAGAGCACTATGAAAGTTTACGCATTTAACTACTGGTTAATAAGTGAAGTGCCCTTTAATATCAAGACTAATGTAATTCTTATCACTGAAAGGTAGCAAGCTGCTCACATGGAATCCATTTCCATTTTAATAAAATCAGTTCTATATTTAGTCAAATACCTATTTTTCTGCAATACAGACAGCTGAAATTTTTTAGTAGTTACCTATTAAGAGCACAAGCCATATTTATCAAAGGGAACATGCAATAGCTAATTGATTATTGCAACTTCAAACTATTACATTGAGAACACAACTCTATCTATGGTAATCACTATAAAAACATGTTAACTCTATTTTCTTTCCTGAAGAGTTAACTTCCAGCTTCATATGAAAGAGTTCCTTGAAAAGCATACCCAAACTTGGTGGCAATATCATAGACTTGCTTTTCATGCTGAAGAACCTTCTCTCTGTCACCCTCAAAGAGCAAGGTAGCTACACATAGTAAGTTGGGATCAAATCCTTTAAACTGCAAAGAGAGAAAAGTTTGTATTATGTCACAGCCTATGTGGTAGAATACAAGCAACAAGTTTTTCAAATATACAGTATGCACTTTGGTTAAAAAATGTTGCAAATAAGAACAAAGATTAGGAAAAGAGACGTTTTTCAAAAGTTTACTCCCAAGAAAATTAAGTTTTTCCTGGAGAAGACAAACATGCACCAACGCACTGAAACAACAGATTATATCTGTCACGTGTTATTATTCCTCCTGTTAAAAAGCAGGATAGACATAGCCTATGCTAAAAAATAGTTCTTAAATGCTTTGACCAAAAGGGAGACATTGATATTCTATTAACTGTTCCTGTACGAAAGCAGGAATATTACTTATGATGACCATAAACATCAGTGTTTTCACAATAGTTGTACTGGCAACGTGAGACTGATTATGTCTGTGCTGGGAAAAGCACTATGGAAGTAAAATCACTTCTTAACTTGTGGCAGAGAACATATCCCAGTGGAAACAGGGTGAAAGCCACCTCAACACGAGGAAATACTTCTTTACTGTGAGGGTGATGGAGCACTGGAACAGGCTGCCCAGGGAGGCTATGGAGTCTGCTTTGGAGATTTTCAAGACCTGTCTGGATGTGTTCCTGTATGATCTTCCCTAGGTGTTCCTGCAGCACCAGGGGGGTTGGACTTTATGATCTTCAGAGGTCCCTTCCAACCCCTATGATTCTATGAAAAGCTATTAATAGTAATGAAGTCAGACTGTATAGCTTTGTTTTCGTAGTAAGTCATATTTTCATAACTGGCCTGAAAAATAATGTTTACTTCCTCATAACAGCTACCTAAATCCAGGATTATGCTGTTTCCTGCATTGAATAACCATGTTTGCAGAAGCTGTCTAGTTACCTAATATAAAGAAAAAAACAATAACAAGACAAATTATTTAATATAAAAGCCTAGTTGAAATCATTTTAGCACCAGATTCTTCTGGATTAAAAAGGGTATTCGCTGAGATGAATTCCAGAAAGATAGAAAAATAATTTATATGGGCAAATCACAATAAATATCAAGAGGTTATCCCAAAATTCTAGTTCACTGTAATAAGCCAGAGCACGCCTTCACAAAAATCTGGGAAGAAGAAAAGAGTGAAGTGTCAGCCTCTCTCCATCAGTATTAACTGATAAGCAGTGGTCTACAAGCTTGATAAAAAGTTACAGTCTTGTCCTGTCACCAACTCCGTTAGACAAGGCACATTAATCTCACCTTTGGATATAACCAATAGGAACGGCTCTCATGGAATAACTCTACAAATAATCTCATTTTGGATTAAACCAACTAGAAAATATCCAGTTAATCAATACTACAAGGTAAAATCTTCTACATTCAAACTGAGGTGCATTAGAGATAAGTCTTAATTTTGTGAATAGCATGCAAAGCTACTAGTATTAAAGCCCAAAAGTTACCTTTGTGATGTAGAATTTTTTCAGTCCATCCAAAAATGATGTAAAAATGGAAGCAACTTGTGGTTTAAGAGCATGACCTTTGGCAAAAAGTGGAAAAAGGTGTGTTGAGGCAAACAGTACTCTTAAAATTCCTACTTCAATGGGGAAATAAAAAAATGCTTTGTAGTCAAAGTTGCAAGAATCACTTAAAGCACTTTGATTATCATAATTAATGAGACCTCTCTACTAATTCAGAAGAAGGATTTTTGTTTATATTTTTGAAAGCCATACATACAACTATTTGACCTTAATTAAGGCTGCCATAGTTTATAACTTCACAAGTATATGGCACATGGAAAAATTTATGAGCACTTTGTTAGTTTTTACATTATAAAAAGTCACTGATTTTGCTTAGTTTTAAGTTATGTCAAAACCACTGAAAGCAATAGCCAAAAATGGTGCAAGTTAGGAGTTAAGCAATTTTTTCTTTAACGGTTATGTCACTTGTGCAAAATTTTCTACATAAAGCTAGTAACTGCTTCCTTAATCACATATGGGGAACTAAAAGTACCAGGTTATATAAATGGTGTCTTGGAGTCTGTAAAATTAACATCTCTGCCTCAGGACTGGGTTTGAGATGAAAGTCTTTCACTGTTTGTTCCATTGTTTTTAGTCACAAGCAACTTATGAACTCCCATTACTGCTTCACTTTAACAGTTTTGCATCTGGTCTACATGCTGTGAGCCCAATTCATAAAAAAAGTTATGCACCATTTACATGATACTTCCTTTTAAAATACTTCACAAAGTATTTTCTCCTGAATAAAGCATGAACTTGAACTGATTGATCTTCCCTCTTTGGTGAAGAGGGACTTCTCCCTGCAGATACAAACAGACCCCAAGGAGTACACCTCCAAGCTCACTTAAAGTACTCAAAAAAGCACTAGATAACAAAAGGACATAACTTATTAAGCCACAATCTGTAAAAAACTATTGGATTTAAGCCTACCAACTTATTACAAGAAACATCTATAGACACACCCAGAACTATGTTCTGCAGGAGACTGTATAAGCTGCAACCTCAGATCAAAGTTAAAAAGCAGAACAACGATTTATTCAGTGTTGGGTTTAAAGCTTGTAATTGGTCTAACTTCTTCCCAATTAGAAAGAAAAAACAAAAATGTATCTGCCTTCTGTTGTGTATGTCTGAGATAAATAACAAAAAAGAATGACCAAATCAAGCAGATAGGCTTGCTGGGTTCTCAGGTCTTACAGATCCTGATTTCCTTGGTTTGAAAAACAAAAGTTCTGCTTCTGCAACACCATCATACTAATGCCATTTGAAGTCCAGATTAATCATTGAGGCATCTGTCCAACAGGAGTTTCAGAAATTCTGACTTTTTCAAGCGGTATTAAAAGAGATTTTCAAGGTCACTCACACTTCACATTTCCGTCTTCTGGGTACAATCAAAACAGCATGGTCTCAGAAGACCTGCAAGTTCCATAAACTATTAGCTTTTGGATAATGGAATTTTAAGTTCTCCTCAAGAGCCAGACACATCTTTTGCCAAATTTCCTAAAGTTTCAAGTGTTAGCTTTCCCCAAGTGCTCAAAAATGATTGCTCTGCATGTCTGACATTATTCTATTTAGGTATTTGAACTAGTTGAAGTTTCACAAAACCTGTCTGTTCAGTAATCTAGGATCTTCATTGGTTTTCGATACTTAAAGCCCACAGCTTACTTCTGTTTGCACAGTTATGACTTGTACTATTTCTGAGTTTGTTTTGCAAACAGGCAGCTCACTCTGGACAAGCATTTCATTGTCTCTCTCCCACCCAAACAATCATTGCCACATCAGAACATTTTCAAAAAACCTGCTACTTTTAAGGAATCTGTGTACCACTTGTGATGTATTCATAAAACTTAAAGGAATCGACCTACCAAGTAGGGTGCACTCTATACTCATCTACTTATTAGGTTTCTTAAAAATAAAATGTTTGTAGTACTATATCGCAAAACTGCCATCTCTGCTCCACTACAGCAAAATACAGGGAATGCCTCCAGAATTTCAAAATCTCCAGTAGACTGTATTCCAAGAATGATAAGGTGGCACAAAAATCTTATGTATTTATATGCACAGCATGACTCTTTACTGTTGTAGTTGATAATGTCTTCCCAGAGACAAAGACAGCCTTCTGTTTCTGAAAGTGCACTATCTGGAGTATGAACTTTAGGTTCATTACCTTCTTTGTCCAATTTTGAGCAAAAGAATCCATGCCTAAAACACACTTAAGCTACTGAAAAACAAAACCACTGGAAACATATTTGTCCAAGAAGATCTATGTACTTACCAAATTGAAACTGTGCATTGTCAACTAGGCGAATTGATGCAGGAGCACATCTCTTGTGGGCAAAGTCAGGGGAATGAGAGGGAGGAAAAACAAAAATATTATGTACACAGTTTTGATGAAATTCATGACAATCAAATTTTCATTTTAAACAGCATATAAGAAAGCACACTTGGATACCAGACACCTATGGCCATTGATATAATTGAAATGGGGTGATCATAAGCTTATTTTAAAAGCAACATCTGTTACGTATGTCTAGATAGATATATTGCATTGAGGATTTTCAGTTTAACCTCGAGCCAACACAGAAAGTATCCAAAGCTCTTTGACCTTTAATTATTGAGTGTTTGGCTAAACTGCCATAATGGACTAAGGGTCTCATACTTGATTAGAATATCAAACTTATGTTGCTATGTAATCAAATATACACATACAAATTTGTATTACAATGTATTACACTGAAAAGTCCAATTGTTGTGGGTTAACCCTGGCAGGCAGCTAAGCACTACATGGCTGCTAACTCACTCCCCCAGAGTAGGACAGAGGAGAAAAATCAGAAAGGCAAAAGTGGGAAAACTCATTGGTTGAGATAAAGACAGTTTAATAAGCAAAATGGAAAAAACACATCAAGAAGTGATGGGTAATCAAATATCAAGTCATCCAATATCCAGCCAGTCCCAAAGAAATAGCAACCCCTGGAGCACTCCAGTTTATTTCTGACCAAGATGTTATCATGGTACATAGCATCTCTTTGCTCAGTTTGAGTCAGCTATCCAAACTGCATTCCCTCCCAGGCTCTTGTTCACTCCCCACCTACTTGCTGATGAAAGGGGAGCAAGAAATGGAGAAAGCCTTGCCACTGCATATGCACTGCTCAGCAAAGGCTAAAACAAAACAGTGTTAACACTGTTTTGGTGAAAAGGACAAAGCATAGCACCACACAGCTACTTTGAAGAAAATTAACATCTGGGTCCAATCTAGGCTCTGTGCTGTACATATGAAAACCAGTAAATATACCTGTGTTCAATTAGACAAGCTTCTGGTCATTTCACATGCCTACTGTCTCATCTGTGATAGCTAGGACATAGCCTGAATTTTATGCTAGTCTTCATTCAATCACATGGACATGGATAGAGGAGTACCCTGTATCAGTTGGTTTGACATATTCACCCCCCATCTTATCATTAACATGTATTTGCTCACACAATAGGAAGAAAGAACATAAAGAGTACTAAGACAGCTAACCTGGCAGGCTGACCGAAGAAAATTGGTGAAGTTTTAAATGAGACCAACCCACCCACAACCTTCAAGCTCATTATTCTTACATTAAAGTATACCAATAGAGACAAGAAACAGCTTTTCAGATAGCAATCACTAATTACTACCAAGATTGATGTGAATAGAGGAGTAAGTAGTTCAGGCTCAAGTAAACAGTGAAACAGCAGCAACAACAGAAGCTTAGAAATGGAGCAACACTAAGTAGCTAAACAGTATATTATTTTAATCTTTTAACTAAGCTCATAGTAGGGAAAGATACTTGCTTCTTAACTTAAAATGTTGATCAGCCATATGATTAAATATTTCCAAACAGTCTGCTTAGGTACCCTCAACAGAAAGAACACTAGCAGTACAAACATGACAGAAGAACTGGCAAGCACTGCTGACTAGCATATACATGTCGTTCACATACCAGTTTGAACATCTGGCTTTGAACATTAAGTCATTAATTTAGACCAATCACCGGAAAAAATGTAAAGCTGTGTTTAGCTTGGCATTAATTAAAACATTTCATAAATTAATTCCTCAATTCCACCATTCACAGGAATGATTTGACAGAGTTTGCACAGAGCGAAGAGAAGTTAGTCTACAATCGTGAAGCGAGAACAAGTGTAAGAGCCAGTGTAAGATATGCCTGGAAGCACAGCCACGAGGAAAAGCATAAAAGAATTTGGAAACCCATGTCTGAGTTTTGCTACCTGAAACCAGCTGACCGCATGTATTCAGTTTGAGCAAGGATAAAGCTAGTTTTCTTTTTTTTTTTGAGATTTTACTTTTCAGTTAAGTCCCTTCTAAGTAGCTGCAGTTGCTGAAATCAAGAGCATGTTTTCCCGTCAGTGTCTGCCTCTAGGGCTGATAACATTTTATGTTTATAGTTATGAAGAGAGAATGATATGCAGAACTTAGGCCACTTGTTGCTTCTAAAGAAAATATCTTAAGCTCCAGAACCAGAAGGAAGTAAAGGGTCACACCTGAGACCCTCCTTTGGGGAGAAGTAGACCAGACAGGTGACCTAATTTAGCCAAATTATGTATCTCATCCCATACACATCATACTGAATATAAATTCGAAGGATCACAAGGGGCTGACTCTTTGTCCATGGTCAGCATCCTGGAAGGATTCCATCTGCTCATCTGCCTTTGATCCTGATCCCTGTGTTCCTGCACCCCAGTGTTCCTATATCCCAGCTGCCACTGACTCCAGGACTTTTCCCAGGCTTGCCCTGCAGCCTTTGTGGTAACGTGGGCATTATTGGGGGGTGCAGGGAGAGCACAATAGTGCTTTTGTGTATATTTATGTATATTTCTACACATTCGTCACTTCCTCTTTTCAGCACTAGTCTCATTAAAGCTGTTAAGTTTATTTTCCAACCCATAAGAGTCTCTCTCTTCTATTCCCTCTCTTTTCCCTGTGGGGTGAGGGAGCGGGGTTAACAGAGAGCAATCTCTCATCTGTTTAATTGCTGGCCCAACATTAAAACATACGCTATTCAGAAGGCTCCGACAGCATAAGCACAATGCCAGCTCAAAATATCCAGGTCATCTGAATGTGCCACTGTGCAAGTACTTTCTAAACAGGCCATATCCTTCCACTGCATGACTTTCATTCCTTTTCACTCCACTGCCATAAATTCAACTGCCTTTTAGGTGTACACTGCAACTCAATTTCTTTAAATACAGGTCCCTTCTACATAGTTCTGAATTAACCTGAGGAGAAAGCTCTCTACTGAAGGAGGTGCAAAGCCAAATAACTCCCACTAAAAAAAAGCCATCAAAAGGCACATCCAGTGTATGACTCAGAATATCTAGTAAACTCAGAATGTGCTCAATCCTCAACTGCATAACTTCCAAACCCTCATGGATCACATACGCTTACAAGGTTCATATCTCAAATCCTTTGTTATCAACAGCCAGAAATACTAGAGCATCAGCACACTGTTTAGTACTAGAGTATGTGTTCTTCAGTGAAGTCAGCATCCAGCTTTTCCTTACCTGCTTTGCCACTTCCCGTAAGCAGGCCACTCCTCGCTCAAAGTTGGGGAAGACGACAGAGCCATACTTTTGGTATTCAGGGACTGGGCGAATCTTTATCGTCACTTCAGTAACCACTCCAAGAGTTCCTTCAGGAAAAAAAGAAAAGCTTAGTCAAGTGTTGCAAGACTGTTGTAACATTCTGTGATTCTGAGATGTGCTTTTCTTACCATTTATCCAATATAATAACTGTTTATCAGGATGCTGTATGTTAACAACAAATTAGAAATTCCAAAAATTCAGCACTGCAGTAGTAGGTAATTTATTCCTGACTGTTTGTGGTGAATTCTTACAAGATATCCTCTAAATGATGATATTTGTTACTAGAATTGTAGGCTAACTCCACAGATCTGTTTTAAGCACTGTTCAGAACTGCTTAACTTCAGTCCTAATTAAGGTCCCCAAAGTATTACACTAATACAAGAAATTCATGCCTGCATAATGCCACCCACAGACACACTGAGAGTCACAGTACTAAAGATGCTGAAATCAAGCCATTACAGAAATTGAATTAAGATGCAGTTATGCAAAATTACTGTGTTTATACCTTCAGATCCCATAATGAAGTGATGGATGTCAGGTCCTGTGGACATGCGAGGTACTTGACAGTTTTTTTCTACTATTCCTCTAGGAGTTACCATTTTTATATGAATCACCTGTTTAAACAATATGCAATGACTATAAATACCAACATTAAGCACAAACATTTTAAATTATATTTACTTGTTACAAAATGCATATTAAGCATGACACAGTTTATCTTTGTAGACTTGGGACATTCCGTAGGCAGCACCAAGAACTTTTGGGGTAAACTGAGGACTGTTACCAACAAATAATTTCTAACTCAGCATGGTTGCCCACACAAGAGATTGTTTCCAGTTCTATGCTAAATGAAATCTGTTGGCTATACACAGACTACCACTTAAAACTGGTCTGTTTCTCAGTGTAAAGAGGACCTTGTGTACTAGGATTTCAATCCAAAATATACAAACTACTTCAGAGGAAATAAGTGACTGTTTAAATTTTGCTTCAGAACTGCTGTTTGACAAAGCTTATATAAGTCAATCAACAGCTGCTACAGAAACATTTCTATTAGGAAGAAAGAAAAGCTTTTGGAAAGATATTATCAATATTGAAGACTGATACATGTATACAGCTAGAAAGCTGTTTTTAAAAATCTTTCAGTGTTATTGCTTCTAGCTTTATTCATGAACATGCAATTCAGAACTCAAATATTTTAATATCTTATTAAAGTATTTTATACCAAGAAAGGGTGGGGTTTGTTTTGTTTTCTAGTGAAGTCTTTAAAGAAAGCAAAATTACTCAATTTCAAATGATGGCTTTAAAACTTCCAATCACAGGTAGTTGAGTAATTTTTATCCTGCTTTGAGTTGTTAAAGAATTTCATTATATGCATTTTATGAAGTGTTGATTCTGCACTAAGTAGTTTTTAGGCAGCTTATATAACATACCATTTCTAGATTAAAAGTTTCATCAGAATGTAAACACTCCCCTTAAACTCTCTCACTGTGACATTTTGAAACTCATGAACTGTTTTGGATCAATTTTCAATCTTATTTCCTCCTAATGAAAATTTCAGGAGCTGTTTTAGCCTCAAGTTATGCTTCCATGCTAGAAAAGCTTTCTGCTTCACATCTCCCAGTACAAGCTAAACTCTACTATTCAGTAACATTTCAAGTAGTAGGGGACAGATAACACTTAGTAAGTGCTAGTAGTCTCAGTTCAGCCAGGTCTACTGAATAAAACTGTGTAGTCCCTGTCAAACTCAGCTACTGATCACATAAAGCATTGTATTTGTGTGTGGAACAAACATGTCTGAACTATGAGCTCATAAAAAAGCCTAAGGTGATGGGGATACATTAGCTAGAGTGTGCTGCAGGAAGAAGGGAAAAGCCCACAGGTGGAAGGACTATTGTACAAACTATGAGAGAAAGCAGGAAATTTGAAGCATTGGCAGGCAAAGTCTGAAAAGTAGTGATTTAACTTCAGTATATCCAATGTATTTGATAGAAAAGGTAGATTTTTAAAATCAAAAAGTATGCTTAAAAAACCAAATTACCTGGGTTAATATTTTACAGCTTAAAATAGATTCAAGACTCTGTCACTCGAAGTCCATGGTTTCTTTTCTTAGGGCTCCCTACATACCACATGCTGGCATTAAATTTCAGAGTGCAGCCACACGGTCAATTAGACCAGCCTACTGATTTGAAAAAACTACTAGCCTAGAGGGAGGTTGGAAGGTTGAAAGACCTAGATTGCTGTCAGAGTTAGCTGATTCAACTAGACAACTCCAGAAATGTACATAAGGTAGGAGAGAACATGGGTCTTTTGGAATCACCCTGTAAGTTTGACAGGATTATTACACTGGGTTAACAGATAGCACAAAGCAGTGGAAGAAAGCACCAGAGTTGGGACAAGGTAACAACTCCTTTAGCTAGCCAGTGAGTACCAAAATGAATTTGACTTTTAGATCAGTGATAAGGATTTATTAGTACTAGTACAAAAAACAAGCAAAGTCAAGATCTGCTGCCAAAACTGTACAGCTTAGGAGAGCTGCAATTTACTATTCCTTTTTCCTCTCATTTGAGCCATTATAAGAAGTTAAGCCTACAAACAGAATAAGTAGAAAAAGTATTTAACATATTTACCAGATCTTCAATGTTTCCATAGATGTTTTTTTTCATGCCTGATGCTCGTGTTGCTACCCATCCTCCTAGTGAACTGAACTCCATGGAGTCTGGTTCATGGCCTGTACAGAAGCCACTTTCAGCAAGCTAAAGAAATGGAAAAAATATATTCTACAGAGCTTGCATTTGTTTAATAGTCAAAGATCTCAATATTCTAGGGTTTAAGTTTTTTGAACAAATAGGTATTCTGACAACATACTCATTTGTTCAGGCACAACTTTTGTCTTTGATACATAAATGAAACAACCTGATGCTGCTTCTACTGTGCTACATACCAACCTATAATACTCCCCCATATTTTAGAACTACGATCTCTATTGTTCATAAGAAGGTGCAAATTCAAATACCTATGGAAAAAATTATAACTAAGCAACTGCCAACTTTGCACAAATGCTGACAATAAATAAGGCATTTAATCTCTTGTTCTTTCTATCCTAATGTGATATGAAGCAGGTCTGCAGACAGAAAATGTGAGCAAATTGCCTGTACTTAATTCTCTCAAGGAGTGATGTGTTTTAATACACAGCCATCTGGTTGGGCTTCCTGCATATACATACTGTCAACTATTTGTGATGCAGATCATGCATTCCTGTACATTAAGTAGGCACTTGTTTCTCATTTTTCTGTATTAGCCTGGCTTTGCCATCTGCACAGCACCTGAGGTTGATTGGATGCCCTCAGAATCTCAACACCAAAGCTGTCAGACAAGAAGAATTAAAGACCCAGCAGATTCACATGCAGTGATAAATGCATTGGTGCATTTGAGATTAACAATTTCCACTTGACCAACTGATAAAAATCCAGTCGGACAGAGGTATTTAAGTATACTCAAGTATACCACATAATGTGGATCATTAACTATGTTCTGTTCTGGACCACACTGTTGAGAACTTTTAACTGTGCATGTACAAAGCACTTGGTCTACACTCCTTGAATCCTGTTTTATGAACAGGATGTGCTAAAGGCACTTATAGGACAGGGGAGAAATTGTGCTATTTATTTTGCAGATACAATAGACAGCCTCATCCAAAAAATGTGTGTACTAGCTTTTCTGATAGAATCACAACCTGATTATTGCAAAAAAAAAAAAAAAAAAAAAAAGAATTGATCCATCTTCATTAGTCTTTTACCACCTTTAGTCCTCACCTACCACCTATTATTACATATTCTTTTCTGACAAAAGTGGCTAGAGGATTCTCTATAGAACCTGTTAGTATCTGGATTTCTGATCCCACAGAAAATAATACCTTAACCACATTAGAGTTACTAGCCAAGATAAACAAGTGTGCAAAAAAAGTTGATTTTGAATGCCACAATGTAACACTTAATCTGACCTTGTCAAACACCATGTTTTCCAAATCTGCTATTTGTTTTGAACTCTGCTCTTTATTTTAGTTACTGTTACAATGTATATTATCTTTGTAAATGACATGGTCTACTAAGTAACTTCAGCACTCAAAAAATCGTCACTGCAAGGTAATTCCTAAATAATGCTGGTGAAGTCTCTTGGGGCAAAAGAAGTTGGATTAGCCTCCAATCCAAGCAAACTCCAAACCAAGCAACTTTTCAAATAGTTTCCTCTTTGCTCAGTCCAAAACATATCCCTGCTTTCTACCTGTATTTCAGTGGAAGCTTGCATTGACATTAGCTATAATGTTAAATCAGTTATGCTTAGATTGTACTAGACAAAACAAGCACAGCTTGGAGTCCTAGCTTAAATCACATCCCATTTGCTAGCAATACTGGATTTCAGTATACGCAATCATAGTTTCTAAAATACATACGCTTAAAGTAGATGACCTGATTTTGTAATCTTTGCACACTGCACAGAACTCGTGTACTCAGAGTCACTCCATATCTTAAAACCTTTGTACAAATACTAGTTTGCATTCAATACTGAACAAATAGACAGCCTGTACTCTCTTCATACTCAAAGATCTGACAGAAATAGTTGTTTGATGAAAAACTAAAAATACTAACTGTGACAGTAGTATTTCAGCTCACAAGAGCTATAAGCAGCAAGGGAATATTGTTCCTTACTCTATGTGAAAGAAAAAGCAGTGGCTTATAAAGGCTAAAATAGTAGTGAAATACCAAACTACCACTCTAGAAAATATGTCATTTAAATGCAAATAATTTTCTCTTTGCATTTGAATTCCAAGCTTGAGAGAAACAAGCAGATCTCCCATGAGAGAAACAGATCTGGAAAGGTTAAAATAATATAACAAATTACAAAAGGGACAATTAGAGGGATGGGAAAGGCTATTTTTCTCATCATAAACAACTCTGTTAGCCAAGTATGGTGAGTTTTCTTCTAAAAAGTGGTTTGGAATAAAATATTTTGAAAACCCTTCAAAGCTCTGCATATTTGCAAAGTGCTGTAGGCACCAAGGAAAGTTTAATCAATACTCAGCTATCAAACAAGTCCTAGAATATATATTTTTTTAAATAAGCAGAGCTACGCAGCCTGAAGAATAGTAACATCCACTACTTGCTTGATTATAGAGGAGCACCAAGAAAGACCCTGAGAAGGCTGCTGCAGCTCAGCTGAAACTACATTTAAAATCCACTAGAGGTCACTTAGAAATGAAGGTGATCTAATTTTCCACTGAACTCTTTCTTTTGGGCAACTCTCCATCTTTTCTGTTACTTTCCTGTAGCTGGACTTAAGAAGCAACAACAGCACATCTTTTTTTATATGCTCTAACTTTTGAGGAAACTACCCCAGGCCAAAGTGACTAAAACATGCCTCACAGACAACTTGAACTTTTCCTGGTAACTGGTACCATCTACGGTCTGAAACAGAAAGCATTGCATCACATCCTATGAATCATCAATTTGTTACTGTAAAGGCATTTTGTAGCTAGAGCTTAACAGAACAAAAATTGATAATGTTCATTCAATACAGCATTCAAAGGGACATGGTTCACAGCCATGCATATATATGCTTACCACACCACTCTGCATCAAAACACACAAGAATTAAGCTAGAACTCTATGACTTAGCCAAGATGTTTAAGAACAACATGGAGAAATACCAGATGCTTGACAAGTTAAAAATACCTGTTTTTCCAGATCTTGCCCAACAATGCCAGCTTCCACACAAGCTGTTAAGTTTTTCTCATCTATCCAGAGAATCCGATTCTGTTGAAAAGCCAATCAAAACTAAGAATCAGTGTTAAAGACTGTTGGTTCCCTCCCTAATGCTATAGGATCAACATGCCTTGTCATACAGTTTATTAATACAACTTCAGTTGTTACCACCATGGAAGCAGAGACACCCCCCACCGAGTCTCTGAAACTGCTATATAGCAGGTTACAATTTATGAAGTCACCACTGCAAGAGTAACATACTTAGTTAATTAATGCTAGGAATTTTTTCAGAAATACGCAAAAGAGCCAGAAAGAATTAAGTTAAATCTCTTACAGATGTAGCACATTGATTTTCACAATTAACATGATTTAAGTTGCCTGCATTTGACTATCTGGACAATAAGTATCCACTAGGAAAAGTATTCTTAAACATACTCCATGGGTTAAATAGATTGCAGTGAGTTATTCCAGTTCAGGTCCCAGATTTTGACACAGTAAGCTAAAAGCAAGATATAGTACAGGATGTCAGAATATGTAAGTACTTCAGGAATTAAAATTATATAATCCTTCCAAATATTTTAATCCGATGAGACACCGGTTGCCCCATTTTAATAAACAGGAAAAGTAGTAAACACTATGAGTTACATGGTGCACTAAGCACAATTGCCAACGAGAACAATCCATGTGAAGGAGAAACTCAACAAATGTGTTTAGCTTTGCTTATAGTAAAAGATGACAGAGAAGCTTCAGCTTCCATTCTTAATTCTTAAGTACACTTCTGGTGTACTTATATAATTGTGTATTAATATTGTATAGAGGAACAGCTCTAACTTCCCCCTGCCTTGATTTTTCAAGTGACAGAAATGTGGATTCCCTGTAGTCCAACAAACTATGGTTTAGAGCAATTGTTTCCTCACAACATCTGGGCTAATTATTCAAAGTCAGGTATTTCAGCTCCATTGAGACACCTTCAGTTTCAACCACTTAACTGATGTAAGATGCTTATACAATTCAGCTTTTGGGCAATACTGACCATACATATAAGAGGATATTCCTCAAGTGTCTATTAAAATAACAGAACTTAGCCAACATACCATTTGTGATGTATCCAGTGAGATAATTGTTCTTTTTTCTTCTTCAGGACATTCGAGAGCACTAGAGACACTCGTCCCTCCTGCAAATATGGGAAGGACATTGTGATCATAAATTCTCAGGTAGCTTTTATTCACATACCATCTCTCTCCCCCTCCTTTCTTATACTGAACTGAGTTAAGTAAGATTACAAATTCACTGCTAGAGGTTAGTGATTAGCTTTTTAAGGCTGTCCCTTCCCCCAAACTAGGATCTGCAAAATCAAGGCAATTCTAACAAAAGGAGCTGACAATGCTTTAACAGTACTTAATAACAAGCCATGAAATTCTGTGACCATCTCAGCTGCTTCTGTTAAGTTCAGAATAGAGTTTTAAAACAAACATCCCATGTTCCCTGAAGTCAAAACAAGATAGCTCACCACTACTTCAGTAAGCTTAGAGGAAAAAGCATCCATGATTGAAAAACCAAAGCCTTTAAAAGTTCTTTAGTCTGAGAAGGACAGTACTCTGTACCTGGCACACTTCCTGAAAAACCCTTGCTATTCTAACTTTTAAACTGAACAATACCTAAAAGGAAATGAGAATAAATGTTAATGATTTTTGCAGTATAGTATCAGACCACAGTCCTCCCTGGACCAATGACAATAATAAAAAACTAAATTAATTTACACATGTTTGTGGGAAACCAGCACAAATAACACATCCAAGACCACAAAATGGCCAAAAAAATATTTCAATCTCTTCTTTCCTAGAAGACTTCCAAGGCACAGAGATAGATCTCAGCTTCATACAATTACCCCTCTTACATAGCAATATTCAAGGATTTGACATACTTTGACATCCAGTAAATTGAATATAGTGGCTTTTAATACTGCAAGATCATAAAAAAAATTAAATTACACTTTAAACACTTAAAAATTCTAACTATTGAATTACTGGTACAATATATCACTAAAATCATATTTTTAAACTGAATTCAAGTAAAATACATTTTAACTAGTAATGTCAAACGGAGTTCAGATTTCGTAACACTTACCACCAAATGGTATTATGCAGAGATTATGTTTGCAGGCTAACTCCACAATTTTAACTACATCTTCATGGCAAACTAAGAAAATAAACAGTTAAAAACAAGATTTGTGCTTAGTACTAAATACTACAGTCTGAATAAGCAGCAGCTCCTTTTCTGACACCAGCAAGGAAGACATTTCAAAGAGTTAGGCACTAAATAAGGGCTCAGAAGCATTAGAGTTTCAGAGTAAAGATTAGACCTGAACAAGTTCTACATTTGAAGAACTGCTCCTGTTCTATTCATGGATTGCAACCTCATGCAAATTCTCAGGTCAAGATGGGCTACCAAAAACTTAATCTAGCAATCTTGGAGAACAATAAAGTTTAAAGCTTTTACTGAAAATAGGCTTTCCAATTTATTTTATGGGAGAAATAAGTGTCTTCTGAGAGCTGAACACCTCTTCCTGGCTGACACTCAGTTTCAAAAGTAGAGTTGCTGTTAAAATTTTTCATAATGCATTCTGTATCTGGTCAAAGACAGAAGCAGAAATGCTTGTGCACAGGCAAGGAAAAGAGATCAAATAAAGTGCATACATGAGTTCGTGCAAACAGCAGAGAATGAGCAGGACTGAATAAACAGGCTTATGAACTCTGGTTACTTTGCTCTTGCCATACAGAGCAGCTTGAAACAAAGGTAGTCAATTTTATTTCACTCGCTTTTGGAGCCGCATAAAATAAAGCTGTGGCAAGTGCCATTCATAGTCACCAGTGATGTCATGTCAGTACCTGTCCTCAAGTAATGAGATGCATCTTAGAGTGCCTCTTATATGCTTCCCATGTATGATTTTTTTTCTCCTAAATAAAGGAAGCAAAACTGAGCTAGGACTAAGCTCTTTATCAGAAAATTTGGGGTTTCTAATGCAGTGCAGGTATGAAAGTATCAGAAAGTTATAAAAGGGAAGAGCTGGATTCTTACAGCTGAACAGAGACTGACAGGTACTTAAGATCAAATGACTTTTTGGTTAGCTACTGAAAAACGGCACATGAAAAGTAGTTCCTAGTGACCAGAGAAACATGACTCAAGTACAAAATTCACAAAAGTATACAAAAAGTTATATCAGGTAATTGTATCCTACTAGATTGCATGCATATTTTCTGCTACACATTATCTACAACAGTGTTAGCTGTTACTCTATTTAAAATGGGCCTAGCCTGTACTCAGATTGCACTGCTCTTTCTTCAATTCAGTGATCCTTTGTAAAGTGTTCTATAGGAGTTTACAGGTGTTATACTTTTTATTAAAAGTACAGCATGTCATAAACCAAAGTTCTTTAGTACAAATATTTCACTACCCTTCTACCACCATCTACTCCTTTAAAAAACAAGATTTAGACAGCCATTTAGACAACTGGTTTTGGTGAATATACAAGTTCAAACTAAACTGTGGTTACTTAAGTCATGAATTCAGCTGTCAACAGAAACTTCAGCTATATTTAATAATAAATTTAACTTTCCCACAAAGTGATGGGATTTTATAGAAGCAACCTGCAATCCAGATGTTAAACATTCATGATTACCATTTATGAGAAAACTCCTTCAGTTTCTGCAAAGACAAGTGAAGTCAGTGAACCAAGAGACAGATTCCCCACAACAAGAAAGCACAGGAGTTCAGTAAACAACTGCCTCCAAGATCAGAAGGGAGAATAAGATGATTAAAGCTTACCAGGCCACACAACTATATCAGGAATTCGCTTAAACATTCCTTCCCTGAGTACAAATATCTCATGTAGGCAGTGACCTGAAACACAAATAATAAGTTCAAAAAGGGAAGCACTGAAAGCAGCACAGTTACACAAATGAAGTTCTCTTACCATGAGCTCTGAATACTCTATCTTCTGCATCCTGTGAATATGAGATTTTAGTGGCTATAAGATCCTGGAGAAATTCTTCATTTACAATGGGTAGAGGTACATCATTAATATTTAAAGATGCCTACAATACAAGAAAATAAGTCCAAAGATAGGTTCACTTTTACAGCATTTCTTTATAACAGAAATAATAAAAACAGAAAACAGATTAATACTAACTGACACCCAAACATAGCTATTTAAGTTCAGAAAAACAAAAGTTCTCTTCCTCATCTTCAGTCACTTATACCACCATCCTGCCTGGTACTCGGCTGACTAGATGCACACAGGAAGTATTCTTGCAGTAGCACATTCCTACCTTTCTTCCTCTTGATAAATTTGGAGAAATACACTAGCTTTTGAGTGCATACTGAACACAACACCTTTTAAGTCTTCAAGATTCAAAAAAGCCAGCTGCCTGAAGAAGAGACTCTCATATTGACAAAAGTGTAGAGATTGAAGGTCAGAATTCTTTTTTGAATATAAGCTCCTCTTCCAAAACAGACAAATACTAAAGCAACTACCCACTTTGCAAACTCCTTTACTTACAGTTGTTTCTACCAACTCATTTCCCCTTCTCCTATCAAGTACTGGAAGTTAAATCCATCTCAGCCCAAAGCTTAATCAGAAGTTCAAAGCAAGGCAAAACTAAGTTTAACCAATCTAACATAACCAGTACGCTTTAAGTAGACCTGATACAACAGGAAGACTTTATATAAAATCCACATTCATGCAGGTGTTTCCAGAAAGACTCTAGGAAGAAGTCCTGATCAATACTTTGAAGAAAAAAGTTTTTCTTTTGAAGAAGCTACACTGGACATTTTGGCTTACCAACAGGCCTTGAATCAAGGTTTTCTAAGTCCAGATGGAGAACCCTTGCCTAAGGTTGTCTACAACCCATTCTTCCAGGTCTTTACATCAGATGCATTGTATAATATTCTCATGGCTTCTCAAAGCACAGACCTAGCCACTTAATTCTTTTTTCTGAAGTCCACTTTAGATATATGTAACTCATGTGCTGACTTTTTAAACCCACTTAGATAATAAGGATTCTTTACAGCATCCAGTTCCAAAAAAAATTAATCTTTATAGGTATTAAGTGGAATGCTTCTAAGTGCTTAGAAGGTTCAAATATGCAACGAAAAAAGCCACCAACAAAGAAACAAATAAAACCCACTTTTTTCCCCCCCCTTCTTAAAAACAGAGCCAATAAATCTTATACTTATTCTCATGGCTTCTCAAAGCACAGACCTAGCCACTTAATTCTTTTTTCTGAAGTCCACTTTAGATATATGTAACTCATGTGCTGACTTTTTAAACCCACTTAGATAATAAGGATTCTTTACAGCATCCAGTTCCAAAAAAAATTAATCTTTATAGGTATTAAGTGGAATGCTTCTAAGTGCTTAGAAGGTTCAAATATGCAACGAAAAAAGCCACCAACAAAGAAACAAATAAAACCCACTTTTTTCCCCCCCCTTCTTAAAAACAGAGCCAATAAATTCACTTACACTTTTGTATGGGAAAACTCCCCAAAGGAATGTCTTCTATTACATATGGCCTCTAATTAAGGAGTTCTTTAATTAGATATAATGCTTATCTTATGACTAAGAACTTAATTTCTGGACTTCAACTCCTATTTTGAAAGAAAATGCTGGTCAAGAATCTTACTTCTAGTTAAAGTCCCTCAAGTTAAGGATCAGGAGACCTGAATGTTTTTCACTACCACATCTTCCATTTGAAATACATTCTTAAATCAGTAGGAGTTGCAAAAAATAAGCTAAAATATAGTGCCGTGCTTTTAATCTTCACTCATTAAAACTTTGCTAGCAAATTAACCAGCATCACCTTCATCTCAAATAGAAGAAAATTTTTACACTTTTGTTAAAGCTACCAGGAACAACTATGGGCTATCCAGTGATGCCAGGAAGAGCTTGCTTGCAGCTCTTCTACCAATAAGTATTTTTTACAAAATGTTCCACTTATTCAAAGAAACTTAGACATTCTTTTGATGAGCCTAGCCTATGCTTCTTGACAAGTACCAAGAGAAAACAGCAAAACCAAGTGTATTTCTCTTTCACCTTCTGAAGTTTCAGTCTTCTACAAAAATGTAGAACCACCCATCCAAGTTTTCTTTCCTGGAATGCATTTTTGCCTATCTGTGCTTTCTACAAGCTCAAGCACAGCTGATACTTTTCACCTGTTACCAAACTAACAGAAAAAAAATATTATCTCCCGTTATCAGTATCTGTGTGAGATACATTCAGGACCAAGAACTATAATTTATAAGTTCAAAAGGATAGCCAAGTGTTTTCGAATTTTCATATGGGATATGACCTTATGAAAACAGTTTTTTAAAAAGATTTGACTTCTGGAAGAGGATATGTGCTGTTCTGACTTGCTTTAAGGTTAATATTTTACTTCTTGAAATAAGGTTTCAGACGTGAGAAAAAGGCTTTACCCTCCAACATGCTCATTTTGTCACCCACAAACACAGAAGTTGAGATGAAGTGTTGTTCAGTGTTGCTCAGGTGAGAGGCACACTGCTACCAGGAGATGATGATTTTAGGGAGTCATAATAAGTAGAGAGGAAGTCAGGTCTTAGACTGCTGCTCTTAGCTCTTAATATTCTGCTGTAAATGCACATTCACACAGTGCTGTTTGCTAACTTGAATAGCAAATCTTTGAGAGAAACTTGGAAAACATGAGAAACAAGCAAGCAGATACCAAATAAAGATTTTTCTGCTATTTTTTTTTTTTTTTAAAGAAGTATCTCCTAGCTGTTCTTACATTTCCTATTCTAAACTTTGGTTCCTTCATGGATTTCCACAAACAGAACTATTTAGTATCATTTCAAGTTGAACACCAAGTGCTTGGAAGTCTTTCTTCTCCATAAGAGGGATGCAAACCAATAAGCCGTAACAATTCCTTGCAAGTGCTTTTAAGTTACTCTCACTTCCACAAAGGTATTTTAATCCTTCAGTTTTAATCTTCAAGACTGAAAAGTTAATATTAATCCATGTAAACCTTACACATAATACCAAACAAAAACATACCTTTATTTATCCTTATGGGACTGAAATATTTTAATATTTGTGCACTGAAAAGCTAGACAGGAAGCCTATGGGAACTATGTCTGAACTGCTGTCTATGGTAAGTTTAATTCAAGAAAAAGAAAAGACCTCATCAGGCCTTGAGCAACACAGAAGTGGGCACATTTATTGTCGTTAATTATAACAAAAATTGCACACAACAGGGAACCCTTCACTCTTAGAAAACAGAGGCAGAAAGAGATGAAAGACAAATGGGCCAAGAGATCCCTCTACTACTGTCGTTGTATTAGAGCTCCTTCATGCTCTGATGATAGAAGGTGAAAAACCAATGTGGCATAACAACCTGAAATATAAACAAGGAACTATGACAGAAGCATGAAAACAGGGGACCTGCAATAGTAGTTGATAACAGCTATTAGAAGTCCAGGTACATACTGGAGACTCAAAAGTGTCAAGGCAGTTAGCCTGTTTCAGATTGCAACAAGAACATCAGAACCAGAGAAGCAGAACATAACAGGAAAGTGTTTAACATCAATGGCAGGTATCCTGAAGAGCTGTTTTGCAAGATACGCTGTGGAATAAAAGACACTACTCAAGAATCTGCCTTTGTCCTCCAACTCTATTTTTCTCTGTATTTCCTCTACATGTAGAAAGGGAACATCTCTTAGGACCTCTGGTCACAGCAAATTCAAGCAGCTGCCAGTTAAGACCAATCTCGGTCAAGGAAAACACATCAATATTACTTTTCATAAGACACTGGCAGATGGAGATCTTGCAAGTGATAGCAGATCAAATAATGTCTTGATTAACAGAGGAATAAATAGTTGACTTTTCAGGCTCTATGAGATTACCTACTTCAGAGAAAATGCAGTCTTGAAACCACTCAAGAAACAAGTAAAACTTTTAATCAAAGCAGGCTGACTATAGCCACTGAACAAGTACAGCCTGCTTCCAACACTGCTTAAGCAGCCATCTAGTCAGGAACCCACAGTCTCAAAGGAATTCTCAAAAGGGAGTAAAGTCTCATGACTCAATTATGTTACTCTTCTTGAAAAGCAAAATATGGACGTTTCACAAAACCGTGAACACTCCAAATGTGTGGATTTCTGGAAACATTCAGTTCAATCTTGAGTATTCTGATAGACAGTTTTCAGCACCCAGACATGAAAAAACTTCTCAATTAAGTTGGATATCATTAAATATATTGGAAATAGAACAATTTTACTTCACTGTCTCTTTTTCTGTTGCTAATATGAAAAACATCAAAGTTGCATAAAAAAACTCTCTCTAGGCTGAGAGCTTCTACAATCTTGAAAAAGCAACCTAAGAAGACAACACACTGTGTTGAAGACTTCTGTTCCAACAAAAGTACCACCAGTTAACCTGGAACCACAAGTCACAAAGTCATTGAAGGTTTCATGTAGAATAATTTCCAAAAACATTGATGTATTAATACACTATATTTATATTAATTATGTGCAAGGTGACCTTCAGGACAACAGCTGAATCATTTTTAACAACATGGTCTTGATTATCACCAAGACTAATGTTCAAAGGAACTGGTTCAGCTATTTACTTACTCTAGAGGTAGTTTTGTGCTCCAGACTTGCTCCAAAGGTTTTTTCTATCCATTCCTTAAAAGTTGGTAATACCATACCACCTAATCTGTACCTGAAAAGTCAATATTACATAGGGTCATTTAAAAATTAAACGACTGCATGTCAGATACACTTCTTTCGATTCTATGTATGCACAAATAGTTAAGTTTTAAATAAAATTCTTTACCTACAAGCCTGCAAAGCTTCTGCACATTTAGTTTTCATGCAACTGCACATTTCATTGTATTTAACTGTTTTGTACTTCACACAAAACCAAGTAAGTTGTCAACATCTTGGGTATTACTTTCTTTCATGATCTTTGGGAATTGTGGCAAAAGGCTTTTGAGATATCCACCCTTCCATCTTTACTTTTATGAAAGATACCTCATTTTCAGTACTGTAGAAAGCAGTATTACAGTTCACATGCCTGTTACAGGTAGTGGCCATGTGTCTATGGCCACACTGCAATGAAAACAACAGCAGTCTCAGACACACTAACACCTTACATGATTTGAAGAAAAAGTGTGTTAAAGTATATTCCCTCATTACCTGAATGCATCAGAAGCCATCAAGCAATTTATTTCTATTGCAAACTCTTTGGCAAAAGCTTAGCCATGTGACAGATGAAAACTTAAAAGACAAGGGACAGAGGAGCTGTTCGTGAACGTGTGTGTACCGTGTGAGAACAAATAAGGCTGGGAACACACCTGAACGGGTAGAAACTATTGCTATTTATTGTATCCATATGCATACCTTGTGCATGTTTATGTATGCACAAGCATTCTCCAAGGACAAGAGAAAAAGGACCATTCTTCAGTATTAAAAGCTTTAAGCAGCTGAGAAACCTTACTCTACTTTGCACCTGAGTCACTGCATTATACCTCATTGGTCTTACTTTTAAGATCACTCAATCACTATTCATTTAATTATGACACTGTCCTTCAGAGCTGTTGCAACCAGCTCTACAACTGTCACCTATTACACATACAGATCAATTATTTCATTTCCTCATCTCAGCTACCTCTCAGTTCTCCTACTGACAAAAAAAACAAACAATCCTACCCTACTCTATTCCTAGAGACAAAATGCTACAACCATATCTAAACTCATGCTTGGAAGACAGCATTCAGACATTCTCCCCATGACAGATGTTATTGTATCATCATACCCATATTCATAGTTAAGTGAATTCTATTACAAAGAAAGTGCAACAAGCAATGAAAGTTTAGCACATTTGCACCAGGAAGTAGCAACAAAGATACAGAGAAACTCAAACCAGCCTGGTGTGTTTTCTTCTCCAAATTTTTTGGTATTCCCAACCTATTACTATAGCTAGCTTGCAAGGGTAACCTTAATCGCTTATTCAAAGGAGAAACTAAAGCTATTAGAAAAACAACAACTTTTAAGTCAAGCCAGACAGAAGTCAAAGCATTCAGGGAGTTAGTGAGTTTACTGCACAGAATGCAACACATGATTGCTCAGGAAGGAATCTTTGTATGTATGCTGATAGTGCAAGAAGCCCCTCAGAAGACATTCCCATATGCACTTTCTGTTCGGAAAGTCAACATGGCTTTCAAAGAGAAATACTGCTTCATTAACCCTTGGAGTTCCTTCAGGGTGTAAAAACAAAGTGAATAAAGGGGATACAATGAACATGAAATTCCACACTCTTTTATACTTCACCCCAAAAGCTATTTAAAAAAATATACTGCTACAGTACTGAAGGAAATACTCTTCTATAGGCTGTAGGATAAGACAAGGTTAAGATAAGAAGGAACAGGCAGGCTTTATTGATCACTACTGAAGGCAGACTGAGGAGTGCAGCTTGCCACATACTGGGACTGGAACCAGTTTTATGTAATGTCTTCAGTGATCTGTGACCTCTCCAACCAGGTGAATAATATTAAGCTCTTTGGAGTATACAGACACTAAACTGACAGGAAGGCACTCAGAACCTTTAAAAACCTGGCAGACTAATGAAGATGGAAGTAGATAATTGCAAGAGAAAAAAAGCATTACTTGCATATTTTGCAGAAGTAAGTCAGTATAGGGAAAATCATAGCATCTTCACTGACAACATACAACATCAGCCAGTAGTGTTATGCATGAGTCAGGCAAGTACAAGAAAGACTACAGTTCATCTTCTTTTGCTGCTCTGTAGACCCTGGTGTATCCACACCTTAAGTGCTGCATACAGTTTTTGTCACTGTACCTCCAAATGAATGCAGTGGAGCCAGAGAAGCTTCAGAGGACAGTAACTGTAAAGACAACAGGGTCTCACAAGCAGAGACTAAAGGGCCAAAGACTCCTTGGCACAGAGAGAAACTGGGAGAGAGGATACAATTGAGTCTTATACAACCAACAAAGCAGTAGATAGGCTGAAGAACTACCATTCACCTAATCCTGCAACACAGTAAGTACTTTACAGAACAGCAACCTGGAACCTGCTGCCATGGGATGCTGTAGAGGCAGACAGTATCAGCAGACTCAAAAGGTATTAGACAAATTTATGGACAACAGATTTGTAAGTGGATAAAATGACAAGGTATCTATGATATTTTTGCAAATGCCTATTTCCTACTTTCACTTTAAACATCCTTTTTGCCACTGTGACAAACAATTCCATAGCACTTACACACTGCTGTGGCCCAACAAGACATTTCTCATAATATTTATCAGTTAAGAGAGAATGCAGAGGGGGGAGAAAGCCACCATTCTCCCCCCATTCTAGAACACTGACTGGCACTCAAACAACAGCCTCAATGCTTTCTCCTGAAAAAAATATCAAAGTCCAGCTCTTTATCTTTTTTTCTTCAAAGCACACTGCATAAATTTACTGTGCAGCATAATGCACCCCAGATAAACCTAACATATCAGATGAAAGAATGAGTGACAAAATTACAAGAGTCAGAATCCTGACAAGATGAGAGAAACCACCAAGATATGCCTAAATAATATATATTGAACTCAAGTGCCTAAGACAAGGCTTTGCATTTTCATCTGGGCTTGAAAAGAAATAAATTGATCTTTGACATGCTCAAAGTCCCAGTTATATTTTTGCTGCTTTGACTCCAACTACCTCATGCTATTTTACACAAACTCAAAAACCACGAAGGAATATTTCTGAAGGACAGTACTTATTTCAGTATTATTTCTATTTCCCATTCTTTTTGTTTACACTCTTACAAAAAGGTATCTTTTTTTTAAACCAGGGAAGAGACTGCACGACAACTTTCCACTGAGGCAGAAAAAACCCAGTAAATTATCAAGTGAAAGGCTTAAATTCCACCTGAAGAGATCCCCAAATAGAATTTTAATGTAATTTCCTCAAAAACAAAAATTCTCAGAAAAACAAGTTTGTTGTACAAAGGCCTAATAGATAATACATCAGAAATGTTACCACTACAAAACATACAACAGAGCCATTGTTACATAAGCTCAGAAAATAAAGCAGCTCCATGCACAATGGTTCAGAAACCTAAAGCACAAACTGGAAGCTTAATAAAGCAAACGGTTGATGCTCCAGAGATTTTCTAAACTGACAAAACTGCACTAACCTGCTGCTGTTACCTAAAGGTTTAGAATATGGTGCAGATTCTCAGTCCGATTCCATTCCCCAAGAGAAGTTTAATGCACGGAGTATACCAAGTTACAGAAAAGACTATCATTATTTGTTTTTATAATACCAAACCGTGACATACTTTTAATAAACCTTCCAATAAAACACAGTCTATTACTATACATTAAACTACTGTATATAGAATTCAGTAAATCTGTTAAATGCAAAACAACTAACAACCTATTATACGAGTAAGTTTTTTGCTTTAGCTGGATTAACTGAGCCATACAATTTTAAAAGTCTTTAAAGAAACAAAACACTAAAGAAGATAATTAGTATCTTTATACAAATTCTCAACTTACCTTTTTCCTGTGAATTCTGCTTGACCCTTCTTATTGAAGATGAATTTGGAGTCATTATATCCCCATCCATTCCATTTCAGAAGTTCTTGCCTTTAAGGGAGAGAAACATAAGTGAGAATGTTAGCATATCGTAAGCCCAAAATAATTTGCAGTTATTGGCTTTGGAAAAAAAGTTTTATCAGATAACTCAAGAAATCAAGTACATATTGAAAGTGTATAGTTTAATAGAGCAAAAAGTAATTCTGCAACCACAACCAATACTCCTTCAGATTGCATCCTAAGACTTGGAAGACAAGATGTTTTATAAAGACAACCAGCTTTAGTCAACACACACCATATGTTGCTATTCTTAAATTGACAAGAGCAATGTTTGAAAGATGCTTGGGTTTAAATCTATACATAAATATTAACAGACAAGTAATATCTAAATATTTTCAGAATTAAAATATTCAGCATTACTGTTCTCTGTCAACAGAATTATTTTACATTTTACTTGTTTGACATAACTAATGTAATCCCACTGCATTCTTAATAACATTCACTTATCAGACACTCAGACACATTTGGATTGAAAATATATTTTGGAAAGTCAATAAAAATAATCCAAGAACAGCAGGAA